GCAGGATGAGAAATGTGGATGTTAAAGCTTGTTAACCCTGCAGTAGAGTACGTCATTTGGGTGGGATGGTAACAGCTAAAATATGACAAAATATGCTGTCATGAGTCAAACTCTATGATGGATTGTAAAAATGTCAAAGGTAAGAGTCCTGCAAAGAAGTCTGATTAACACACAGTTTCAAGTAAGTAAGTTCAAATTAAAATGACAGACTAACTTCATATTTTACGATATATGGAGAGCAAAAATGTTTTGTGCAAAACATGAAGTGGTTTTCATAAAAAAGGATGTAATATTAAAAGGTGGTGCATGCATGTGTATTAATTCCCCCTTAGTAAATATTTTGCTGACCTACGTCTCTTTTTATTTACAGTAGAAAGTATATTGAGGTATTTATCAACCAGCTTTAAACGCCTACTGAATAAAATTCCTGCTAATTCTTCATTGCACAATATCTCAAGCCTTATGTGGATGGATGGACAGCGTCCATGAACAGGAATCTACAAGTTTTGCTACAGATTCTCAATTGAACTTCGACTAAGTCTGTGTCTGGACTTGAAACCAATCTTCTGTCCTTTGCAGCCTCTGTATCAACTCTACCACAACAACTGACTCAATCCTTCCTGGCTATTTCTATCAACAATGATAAACACTTTGGATTTCAGAGTTAGAACACAAATAGAAAAACAAAACAACATAAGAACAGCAATGCACACGCAAACAGTGAGTAAGGCCCCGTCCACACGAAGCCAAAACGAACACGAAACGCTGATATTTTCCAAAACGTTTGCCGTAAAGACGGAGACGTAAAATAAATGTGAGCGTCCACACGAATGCATGAAAACGCTGCAAAATGTATGCCAGGCCTGTAAGTGGCGCTGTGGTGCCAAAGCAAAAATAAGCGACGAAATGTTGGGCATGTGCACTAATATTTATACATGGTTGCCCTGCGGGTCCATTTTCGTGGTTAAGTCAAATTCAGGTGCTGAACTATGTCGTCGATATTGCTCTGTTCTTCCTGGAGATATTCCAGAAGAAGAAGATTCTGTTGTAAGCCCGACAGCAGGGTGAGTAGCATTAGCAACGGCGCCATTGTTGTTGTGATACTGGTCGCGCATGCGTGTGTAGAGGCGACGCTATGACGCATGCATGTAAAAAAAAATATGCGGTTAGGGCGTAAAGATGGAAACGCGAAAACGGCGTTTCAGAATCTTCCCACTCTGAAGGCTGAATAAAAAAATGATCGTTTACAGACCCCCGAAACGCCGGCTTCGTGTGGATGAGAGGCTGGTTTGGTGAAAAATTTGTGCGTTTAGGCCAGGGTTCGTCTTCGTGTGGACGGGGCCTAAATCACTCAACTAATTTGTATTGTTCTAAACTGGAATAAACAGGAAAAATAGGATTTATATCTATTCAGATACCCAGACTCAGATATTCAGCCTAGAACAGGCTTTCTCCTGCAATGTTTTATTTCTTGCAATAAATAAATATGTTTCTTTGGGCAAATCAGTTAAACAGATTAATTACACACTTATTCATTTCAGTTTTCTATATTGGACTAATTCACAAAATGTCACATCAAGACAGAGAGACAATTCAATCATATCATAGAGATTTGTTAAAGGTTTTCTATCTAAGGAAACCCAGCCAACTACACTGAGTCACTGACTTTGCAAATCTCTCCCCCCCCCCCCCCCCCCCCCCCCCCCTTGATGAGCCTGCAGCGACAGTCAGCAGGTGTTAAAATTGTGTAGCACGGCTGACAGGCTGTTTTTAATGTTCTAGTCCAGGTCTGGGATGTGATGATAGAGCCACCTAAGATGTGTTTGCTAACCTGCTCTAGCCGTCTTGCTTGATTGGGTGTCATGTGTTGTTTGTAATTATGGGGTATAATAGCATCTTTATAACAGTGCCCAAGAAGCCCAAGAATCTGGGAAGTTTAGTTTTAAACAGGCTTTTCAGGACAGAGCTGCTTGGTAATTGTTATTTACGGTTATTTGCAGAAGTAAAAACTGTGTTTGCTTTATGCTGAACATCTGTTGGAAGATGGAAATGAGCAAGTTTCAAGAAAAAAAAAAATCTGATGGAATGCCTTCCAAAAAGTTTTTAAGCTACTGTAACTAAAACATGCTTTACGCAACATTTAGTCATTCCACCATTCATGTACACATTTACACACTAATGCTGCAACCTACTGCTCCTCTGGGGAACAGTGTGAGAAGCGGGAACAATGAGCCCCTCTGATCACCATCAGTAGGCGATGTGGGGTTAGTGTCCTGCTCAAAGACATGAGTATTAAGACGGATGGAGCAATGGTTCAAACTGGACAAATGTATGCACCCTAACCACTGATGCCGATACATATCCTAAGTATAATCATAGTTAAAGTTTGAGAAATAAGCCACGTTTTTATACAATACCTTTGATGGTTTAATCCTTAGTTAATTTTGAGCAAGTCCATAAGATTTGTCAACTTCCTGGTAGAACAAGCTAAAGTAAAAATATCACATGGTTCACAGATCTTTGCTTCAACTTCCACTACAAATCAAACATATTAAATGCAATAGCTCAACGTTAAATGGAAAATATATTCACTGAGGGTTAGAATCAAAGTGCAACAGCAGAAATGAGCTCATCAACAGAAACATTAGATAATTTGGCCTCTGTAATGATTAATTATGTGTTCCTTTCTGATTATGTATTAATGTATCTTATTTTGCATTTTGGTCTTGTATGTTTTGTGCTGCTGTCTTGGCCAGGTCACTTTTGAAAGAGGTTTTGATCTCAATTAGTTGTTTTTCTGGTTCAATAAAAGATAAAGTTGGCTAAATTATTAAAAGGCTCCATCAAAGCTATCTCTAACTGTAAAGGCAGATTTTGTTTTTTACCACCTTGAGCTGCAAAACATGCAACATAACATGGACAAACTCACACCCATTAAACACACTCCTGGACGCACATATGAGTCTGGTTAAGTTTATTCCTTGATGCCAAAGTATTGCTCAACACAACATGGGGTCTGTTAAAGCAGGCATGTGTCTTCAATCAAGCTTGCCTGCTTTACATGAGAGCATGGCTTAAAGAACATCCAGCTTCTTTGCTCGCTCACACTGAAACACACGCCAATATTTGGGGCGCTCCTGCAGGCCAGTCAGCACATCATAAAGACAGAGTTAGCAGCTGAGGGAAAAAAAGAAGCTAAAGGGTTTTCTTTTAAAAAATGGATGTTAAAAACATTGAATGGATATCAAGATGATTTGAGTAAAAAAAAAAAAAATTTTTTTTTTTATTTGTAGCATCAGGGCGATTCTATGGTAGTAGACAGTAGTATTCGTTAATCTCTTAGAAAATATTGATGCCTCAAAGCTATAAAACGCTGAGCATTGTGAAAAAAACCCCAAAATAACCATGACAGCTTGTACAAGAGTATCGTATTGTAGGGGCAGGGCCCCCACCCTTTTATTAGTAAATAATTTTTCATTGACCAAATTCAGTCAATGGACCTTAGGTTTAGGTTTCCTCCCAAACTACCAGTGTAAACTTTCATTTTCTTGTTTTTTTTTACTTGACAGAACTATACAGACAAAAATACAGACAATCAAGGAAACAAAGATCAGTGTTTAAAATGAAGCCTAGGCAGAAGTTCAACTGAAGAAACAAAACTGCCTGCCTTCATCATCAGAGGCTCATCTGCCTCTGATGCAAACAAATCAGCTTTGAACCGCCCCTCCACAAAGACCAATCAGCATCCAGAGTTCATCTTAAAAGGTCTTCAAATCCACGACTCAGCCTCATACCCAGCCACGCACAAACATGTCTGATTTTCACTCAGATGACCCCGATTCGCCCACCTTCATCCCCTTCTCCACCATCGTAGCTTAAGCTCCATCTGGCTTTTCCACAGTTCTTCTTCAACCTCGTCCCTATCCGAGTATAATTCCTCCCGGACCCTTATTACATTCCCTGTCACATCTCAATAGGTCCAGCAGTAGACCGCCATGTTGAGGCTGGTTCTGCCAGAGGTTTCTTCCCAAAGGGGAATTTTTCCTCTCCACTGTCGCTTCATGCTTGCTCATCATGGACAGGTTCATAAAAATCTGTGTTTATCCAAGATAGACATCTATCTTCCAGGTCCCTAAGTGAAGCACTAGTATCAGCTCACACAGTCTAGGGATCTCACCAACACAGCTCAAGCACATGATCTCGCCAGCCAGCAGTCTATGGACTCCACCACCAGTTTCAGACCTGGAGGGGGACATCCCAGTTCTCATACACCTGCTTATGCATATTAGAGTAAAATTCAGCGCTAATATTTCCTGTCAAGGTCTGAGCGCCAAAGTCTTAAAATAAATAAAATTCTTCTGTCTTTTTCTTTCCGTGTCAGTTTTTCAGATTGAACTACTCTACAAGCAGCAGTTGTGTCTCAATTATGCAAAAAAGAGCATGAAATTATAAAAAAATACATTTTGGGTTTACTTAAAAGAAGTATTAAGAATTTGAATGACTTCCAGTTGACACTTCCAGTATGTATTGTTTGAATTGAGCCACCAGATAAAAAAAAAGTAGCCCAAGCTGGTTTAGAGAAAAAAAAGCAACTGAACCACACAGGAGCTAATTCTTCCACTCCTGTGATCAAAGGCTTTTCACAGTTCTTGACAGACTCCAGTCTGTTTTTTTTTTTTTTTGAGTTTTTGCAGCACTAGTGGCTTGTTTTTCTGACAACAGGCTGACAGGAAAGGGGGGTATGACATGCAAGGATCACAGGTCGCATTGGAACCTGGGTCGCCCACATCGAGGAGTAAGGCCTGCATATATGGGTCGTGTGCACTAACTGCGCCACCTGCTAGGACTAATAAAACCAACATATATTATTTTTGAGAGTAATATGATTATTATAAAATGGTGCTTATTCATGCATAATGTTTTAGCTACAAGGACATTATCCTTTATCCAAGCCCCAGAATGATTCAGCTCATGTCTGATTGGAAGGATAGACAGCTTACCTTCCTTCCCAGGAGAACCATTTGTTAGGGTCTGAAGGGTTCTGGCTATGTTTGTGATTCGGTCCTGAAGAGTCTCACATGTTCCCTTCAGCCCTCCAATATCATTGGCTTGGTTTTGTACCGTGCCGTTCAGCTGGTTCACACAGCTCCACAGTCCAGTGATGTGCCTATTCAGGCCCTCTTTGATCCTCAGGAGGTTGTTGGAGATGGGATCAAGCTTGTTACACAGAGCTTCAACATTAACAATCCGACTGTCCATGCTGGTGAGCTCCAGCCCCACATCTTTAGTTGTTTCTCTGCAGCTTTTGGCCTCAGCTTTCACCTCTCTGTCCAACTCAACTAAACGCTGTCTCAGCTTCTCATGCTGTACCCTGTGAAGCTCCAAAAGATCCTTAGAATCCTTGAGGGTTGCTTCTTTATTTTGATCCCAGGAGGAGTTAAGGTTCCGCTGATCCTCTACAATTGATATTGAGTCTTCCACTCTGTCCAGACGGTTATGTATCTCACTGCTCACATTCTCAATAGTGCTGTTGATGCATAAAAGCTGACCCTTCATGGATTCAAAGTCTCTTACCTGAATGTTCAGATTTGTTTCCATGTTATCTACAATAGATTTATAGCTCTGGAAGTCATTCTGAAGCTTTTCTAAAGCAGTTAAATTAGCTTTACAGTTTTCTGAGCACAGAAGTTCCAGATCATTGACTTTATGCTCCAGCTTATCAACTGAATCCTTTACTGAGCTAGCATCTATTAGCAGACTATTTTCACTCATTAAGGTGAATTTAGAGTTATTTGTCAGCTTATTCGTGAGTTGGTTCTGTATAGATCCCAGCTTGTCGTCCAACGTCTTCTTCAAGTCGTTAATGGCTTCTTCTTGTTCGTGCCGAAGATTTTTCTCCACAGAGAGGCACATCTCCAAATAGCTTTGAGATGAGTTCAGCTGGTTTTTAAGGTTTTCCAGGTGAGAATCTACTGGTCCTGCCTTCTGTAGTTCATCCACTTTTGTCTTCAGGTTCTGGATCTCACTGCGGACGTCTAATTCCTTTGAGTCCATGAGTTCGATCAAGCTGAAGTAGTTGGCCTCCTGTCCTTCACACTGTTCCTGAACTGAGTGGATTTTATAGTCACAGGAGTTCTTCAAATCGGCCATTTTGATTTCTATACCTTCCATCAACTCTTCTCGTAGAGCACTGATCTTACTTTCCAAGAAGGCTTGCAGGTTAGCATCACTGCTGGACGTTGTAGGTTGGGACGTGGATGGCTGATTCTGACCCGTCTCCAGTAACAGACCTATTTGTCCATCATGGAGATTTACTCGACTCATTAAGTCATCCAAGACATTACTCCTCAACTCAAGATCATCTGCAACCTGGTTTATCTTGTTCATGACCTCATCCATTGATGGCGTCTCTTGACCAAAAGAGAAGTCCTGCACTTGAAAGCTTTCTGTTGCTGCACCCCTAGCGCTGGCAGGTTGTTTAAGATTATTCATAAGAGTAACAAACATTTTACTTGCATCCTCCTGGAAATCCAGTCTTAGATTGGAGGCAATGTCTGTCATTCTTGCCTGCATGTCAAGAACCATCTGAGACAACTGCTGCACCTCCTCCTCTAGTTGTTGCGAGCTTTGAGGTCTGCTTTGGCCCTCTCGTGGCCTGTCAACTGTTTGACCTCTGATCTGCCCCTCCCAAGCTGATTGATGGTTTCTCTGAGGCTCAGTCCTCCGATTGGGAGCTACAAAACATTGAAACAATGAGTATCCTTTGACCTAAATGTCCTTAAGCATTTCAAATATTTTAGATACCATTAGCCACTGACCTTGTGGATTTGAATAGCCAGAGTTTGAGGAGGCATGGGGCAAACGCTCTACTTGGAGAAGTTTCATGTCTTTCACCTCCATGCAGTCGTGACCCTGATATCCTGGGCAGCACCTCCATTGCAGCTCTGTCATTATTTTGTAGCCAATTTTGTATGTGGGTCTAAAATGTGTTTGATATCTACAAAAAAAAAACAAAAAACAATAGATTAAAAGATAAATTGAAATTAGGAGATTCACTCTAAATACTATACAGCAAATCTGTCATTTTCTGATATAAAGCATATCAGTTATTGATTATCATTCTTATCATCATGTATTTTAGGATCGCAACATTTAATATATTTTACTCGGATAATCCCAATCATAAAAAATAACTAACTGCTTTCAGAAGTCATCTAATTTAAAAAATGACACAACTAAAAAACATGGTGGTGGTAGTATTATGCCGTCAATATTTTCCTTCTTCAGTGGGGCATGGAAGATGGTCAGAGACCAAGGGATTGGTTGATGGCACTAAATGTTAGTGGATAAAAACATAATGAGAGACTGAGGCAGAGGCTTACCTTCCTGCATGGCAAAGACCATAAACATAACGCCCCATAGTTTACGTTTAAAGATAGCTTTGCCTCAAGAAATCTAAATCACGTAATTATGTTGTTAGCAGGGCTCTGTCGAAATTGAGTGCATGAGAAGGTCATTTAGTCATATAATTCAGGTGTGCTGGACATGGGACGAATCCAAAACCTGCAGGACATTGGCCCTCAAGGAATGCAGTTTGACATACCTGCTCAGGTCAAAGCATGTTCATGTTTTACAATGGCCCAATCAAAGTTAACACCTAGCCCCAATTAAGCATTTGCTGCAAGACATGAGGATTAGTAGGAATACAATATTTTTGGGTAGACTTAAAATCGTATGCAAATATAGGACATTATAAACGTCAGTGACTTTGACTATAACTGCAAAATATTTGTACAATTTAATGAATTAGAGTCCTTAAAACTAAGAGGTAAAGCATTCATAACCCGGGGGAAGGGAGGTTCTCTGAGGAAGTACACAATAAAACAAAATGTATGGAAGCCAATCTTGCACACGTTTTAAACTCCCCTCCCTTTTTGTTTTTACTGTGCTGCCAAACAGCCATTTGATAAGAGTTAAAAGCTATTATGGTCGGTGTTTCCATCATTATGTCTTTGTTTCAGGCTGCTGGTAAAAACATCCTTAAAGATTCAGTTTAAACAAAGACTGGTCAAATAGAAAAAAGTTAGGCTACTTGTCAATTTCAGACTCAAGAGGCTTAAAATATGTTAAAACAGACCAGAAAAAGTCAATATTACAAAAAAAAAGAGACTTAGGGAAAGCCAGGAAACATCTTGTCAGTATAGATATAAAATAGATATTCTGTAGACAGTTTCAGCTGATAACAATCTCACTAAATAGCAAAAGAAAAAAAAACTTCATTTTTTAACGTGATTTCTGGGAACTTACATCACTTGTTGCGCACAGTTTGGCTGCTCCGGTGGACATGGCAACAACTCGGGCTGCGCAAAGCTCTCCGTGCCTCCAACTACAGCGCAGCTCACATTCTTATGCACAACGTAGGCGCACCAGTTTCTGCACAAACAGATGCACATCTCCATTCTGTTATTCGCACTCATGTAAATGAAAAAAAAAAATAACATAAAAAAGATACGTGCAACTACTCACTTGTTTCTCTGTCGTGTTTCTGGGGCAGAATACGCGTTTCCCTGAAACATATTGTACTGAAAAGGTGATCCACTGACGAGAGGGAAAGTTATCAGAAAGTTTATGAGATACAGATCGCGCTTCATGGTTAGAATAAAAGACTATCCAGCAGAACCTCCTCAGAATATAACCAAAAGTCAGCAAGTTGCCCGGAGAATGGTTAGAGCTCTATGGGCTGTTTCTTCTCTGGGTTGCGCACATCCAAGCATCCTCCTTCCTTTCAGCATTTTGGATATGACGTCTCAGGACACGCTCCAATACTCACAAGATGCGCCCTTTTTTTCCACTGTGGAGGACCCACTTTCTCTGCCTAACCAACCAATTTAAAGCCAAATTCACATGTTATGAAAACACCAGTATGCCCATTTTGTATTTTCTTAAAAATTTGTCAATCATATTTATGTCTTAATGTCTGTCCGTCCATGCATCCATCCATAATATATATATATATATATATATATATATATATATATATATATATATATATATATATATATATATATATATATATATATATATATATATATATGTGTGTGTGTGTGTGTGTGTGTGTGGACCACCATATGGATGGATCTATGTATTATGGGAAATAGGTTTTTGGGTTTTAAAACTAAAAAGACTTAAAACGTATTAAACAATGTTGTGTCTGGTCAGTTGCCATTTTTGTTGCATTTATTTGAGAAGTTATACACAATATACAGGTCCTTCTCAAAATATCAGCATATTATTATAAAGTTCATTATTTTCCATGATGTAAAGATAAAACTTGAAAATTCATATCTTTTAGATTCATTGGACACTAACTAAACGGTCGCAAGATGGCGCCAGTGTGTGTGGCAGGCCGTCTACCTCTGTCAGTCTGGTTGGTGTTATGTTTGCTTGTGTTGTCTCTTGTCTCTCAACAAATCGAGTCTCTACTGGTCTACGACCGCCAAACTCTTTTGGACTTACAATATAATCTTTCTCCGACAAATCCGGATGAACGAAGGGCGTTGTCCCGCTGCCCGTGGGAAATTCCAGCTCATCTGTGCAGATGTCCCTCTCCGACTCCTCGGCGAAAAAGTCGCCGCCGGTCTCGCCACCGCCGTGGCAGACGCAGCGGACAGCTGGTGAGGCTAAAGCTTTGTATGGCACGATCGGGGGAAATCACCAAACTCCAACAAACACGGGACAATCCCTGCGGATATTTGGTGTCCTGGCGTTCCCGGGATCCTGTTGCCCACAGCGCAACATCACTCATTGGCCTGGTCGAGGGCCGGGAATCAAAGCCAAACTCCTTTCCTCGGATTCTACGGCGCAGAGTGAACTTTCCGAACCTCAAGCTCCTCTGTAGGACTCTACAACCCGTTGGAATACAACCAGCTCTGGCTACGTCCTTCTCCCGTATCGGATTGGTCAATGCAAGATCGATGACAAACAAAACATTTATTCTACGGGAATTTTTCAACTCTCGCTGTCTGGACTTCCTGTGTATTACGGAAACATGGCTACGTGATGGTGAGTCAAGCGCTCTAACTGAACTCCTACCCGCGGGGTGCAATGTTTTTAATTGTCCTCGTACTAAAAGCCGAGGTGGGGGCATAGCGGTCATGTTTAAAGACAAATACAAATGTAGACGATTGACCTTCTCTTTTGCAAGCTTTGAGTCAGTCATATTCGAGGTGGGTCGCACTGACTCTGTTCTGATGGCCGTCATTTACCGGCCCCCAAAATACAACAAAGACTTTTTGGACGAATTTTCAGATTTTTTAGCAAGCGTGATGTCTTCATATGATCGTGTTCTTATCATCGGCGATTTTAATATTCACGTGTGCTGCCCCGATAAGCCCTTGGTGAAAGATTTTTTAAACATTGTTGACTCTTTTGACTTGCTACAATCAGTGTCTGCTCCCACACACGAACATGGACACATTCTTGACCTCGTTTTCTCCCATGGGTTAGCCGTATCAAACCTGGAGATCAGTGACATTGCACTTTCGGATCACATGACTGTGACTTGTGATATCAACATGCCAGGCCCAGAAGTCAAAGCCCCCACTCGCAGATGCTGTCGGAGTTTTAACCCTCTCACGGCTGGCAAGTTTTCGGCTGCGTTTCAGGATCTGACTGCTGACCAAGTGCCCTCTGACACTGAGGCGCTAAGCTCATGGTTTTACTTCTCCTGCGAAACCATATTGGACTCTGTAGCACCATATAAAACAAGGCAGCCCAGAACTAAAGCTGAGCCCTGGTTTAATGACACGACCAGAGCCGCCAAACAAGACTGCCGCAGGGCGGAGCGTAAGTGGAAGAAGGACAAATTGCAGGTGTCACATCAAATTTTAAAGGACTGCTGGCGCCAATACCAAAATACTGTAAAGGATGCAAAAAGACATTACCTCTCAAACATAATATCAGCAAATTGTCATAATCCACGCATGCTATTCAGAACCATTGACTCTGTTCTTAATGCTCCATCAACTGTCTGTCTAGAATCCTCTAAGGACATTTGCAATGACTTTCTTTTATTCTTTACTGATAAAATCACCTCCACTAGAGCCTTGATCACACACTCTTCTGCTTCTGACCCCTGTCCTTCCTTCAATCTTGGGCCAGACGCTTGGCCGCTACTGGAGTGCTCTGCTGTTTTCCATCAGTTTGATCCCGTGACTCTCCCTTTACTGGAGAAAGTAGCAAACAGTATTAAACCCTCTGGCTCACCTTGTGATCCACTTCCCCCCAAACTTTTTAAGGAAGTTCTCCCCTGCATAGGACCAACGGTCCTGGATATTATTAATTCTAGTCTCTCTACCGGTGTGGTCCCTATAGCATTTAAACATGCAATAGTGCAGCCCCTTGTCAAGAAGCCTGGACTTGACCAAAAGGTGTTGGCAAACTTCCGCCCTATATCCAAGTTACCATTTTTATCCAAAATCTTGGAGAAAATAGTGTTTAATCAATTAAAGGCCTTTTTAGATGAACATAATTCATGGGAGGTTTTTCAATCTGGTTTCAGAGTTCTTCATAGCACTGAGTCAGCTTTATTGAAAGTTTTTAATGACATTTTACTCGCATCTGACTGTGGTGACAATGTGGTTTTAGTCTTGCTTGATCTTTCCGCTGCTTTTGATACGGTGGACCATGACATTTTACTAGCTAGGCTTCAGCACCTTGTGAGCATCCGCGGCTCAGCGCTGGAATGGCTCCGGTCTTATTTAGCAGACAGAACATTCTGTGTTGACTTTGGCTGCTCTCAGTCCTCCTCTGCTTCTCTACAATATGGAGTCCCACAAGGGTCAATACTGGGGCCACTGCTCTTCTCCCTCTATCTACTCCCACTGGATTCCATCCTGAGGAAGTATGGCATTTCCTTTCATTGCTATGCTGATGACCTACAAGTATACATTCCGGTAAATCAGAATGGGGCCCTGTCTTTGTCTTCCCTTCACAACTGTCTTCATGAAATCAAAGCTTGGATGTCACATAATTTTTTGAAGTTAAATGATGACAAAACCGAGATTATTGTCTTTGGTCCAAGTGCCTCCCGTCAGCCAGTCTTCCCTCTCTCGCTTGCAGCGCGTACAGAACGCTGCAGCACGACTTTTAACTGGGACAAAGAAGAGGGAACACATAACACCAATCCTGGACTCACTTCATTGGCTCCCTGTCCATTTTAGAATTCATTTTAAAATTCTTTTATTTTCTTATAAGTCAATAAATGGCCTAGCTCCACCATACCTCTCTGAGCTACTACAGAATTACTGCCCCGCTAGGTCCCTTAGATCAGCTGATCAGCTCCTTCTAAAAGCACCTAGAGCAAAGCGGAAGCTCAGAGGGGACCGAGCATTCTCTGTGGCAGCTCCCAAACTGTGGAATGCCCTCCCCCTTTCTATCAGACAGGCCCCTACACTCAGCTCTTTTAAAACCCTTTTAAAGACCCACTTTTTCTCTCAGGCCTTTGAGTGAGACTTCGACTTTTTTTTGCTCTTACTGTTTTTTTTTTTTTTTTTTTAATCTTTGAGTTTGTCCTGTGTTATGGTGATAATTGTGTTTTATAATCTGCTCAAATGACCTGTACAGCGCTTTGATTTTAGCTTTGGCTGACTGAAAGCGCTTTATAAATAAAGTTGAGTTGAGTTGAGTTGAGTAAAATATTTCAGGTCCTTATACTGATGATTTTGGCATACAGCTCATGAAAACTCCTATCTCACAAAATTAGCATATTTCATCCCCACAATAAAAGAAAATAGTTCTTAATACAAAAAAAAAGTCAACCTTCAAATGATTATGTACAGTTATGCACTAAATACTTGGTCGGGAATCCTTTTGCAGAAATGACTGTTTCAATGCGACGTGGCATGGAGGCAATCAGCCTGTGGCACTGCTGAGGCGTTATGGAGGCCCAGGATGCTTAGATAGTGGCCTTTAGCTCATCCACAGTGTTGTCTTGCGTCTCTCAACTTTCTCTTCACAATATGCCACAGATCCTCTATAGGTTTCAGGTCAGGAGAGTTGGCAGGCCAATTGAGCACAGTGATACCATGGTCAGTAAACCATTTACCAGTGGTTTTGGCACTGTGAGCAGGTGCCAGGTCGTGCTGAAAAATGAAATGTTCATCTCCATAAAGCTTTTCAGCAGATGGAAGCATGAAGTGCTCCAAACTCTCCTGATAGCTGCATTGACCCTGTCCTTGATAAAACATAGTGGACCAACACACAGCACAGGTCAGGTGCCTCTGCTGCTGTTTCTGGTTCAAAAGTGGCTTGACCTGGGGAATGCTGCACCTGTAGCCCATTTCCTGCACATGCCTGTGGACGGTGGCTCTGGATGTTTCTACTGCAGACTCAGTCCACTGCTTCCGCAGGTCCCCCAAGGTCTGAATCGGCCCTTCTCCACAATCTTCCTCAGGGTCCGGTCACCTCTTCTCGTTGTCCAGTGTTTTCTGCCACACTTTTTCCTTCCCACAGACTTCCCACTGAGGTGCCTTGATACTGCACTCTGGGAACAGCCTCTTTGTTCAGAAATATCTTTCTGTGTCATACCCTCTTGCTTGAGGGTGTAAATGATGGCCTTCTGTACAGCAGTCAGGTCGGCAGTCTTACCCATGATTGGGGTTTTGAGAGATGAACAAGGCTGGGAGTTTTAAAGGCCTCATGAATCTTTCGCAGGTGTTTGGAGTTCATCTGTTGATTCAGATAGTTAGGTGCATAGCTCATTTACAGACCTTTTTCATGAAATGATAATTTTGTGAGATAGGAATATTGGGTTTTCATCAGCTGTATGTCAAAATCATCTGTATTAAGACAATAAAAGACCTGAAAGATTTCAGTTAGTGTGCAATTAATCTAAAATATATGAATGTTCAAGATTTATCATTACATTATGGAAAATAATGAACTTTATGACAACATGCTAATATTATGAGGACCTGTAAATGGCTCTCAGTTCTTGGTATTTCAAGAATAACAAAAGGAACACTTAAAGGGATAGTTCGGTATTTTTGACATGAATCTGTATGGCATCCCCATCACCAGTGGCATGCAATCACACTGACTTACCCCTGGCAGCGTCCTGTGAGCAGAGTTATCGCCCAGCTAGGCGGAGGGAGACATGGCTGTTGTTGGGCTCGCTGTCTGAATGACGGCGCGCACTGATACGAACAGAGAGAAAATAGGACCAATTGATAACGACGTGTGACTTTTTCCACTACAATGTTTTTGGGATGCAAAAATATCACTCTTTTGAACACATAATGTTTTGGGAAGAGAAAAGTTTTATTTCGCTGTTCCCAAAAACCTGCCGGACTACTTTCGGCTTGACCAAAACTGGACGATAACTCTGCTCACAGGACGCTGCCAGGGGTAAGTCAGTGTGATTGCATGCCACTGGTGATGGGGATGCCATACAGATTCATGTCAAAAATACCGAACTATCCCTTTAAGAAAAGTTTACATAAAGGAGGAATATGAAGCAAAGACAAAGAAAGTACTTGAATGCGTGCTGTGAGAGATCAAATCAGATTAAATATTTATATTGAGCAAATGCAGTTTGCCAAAGTGTTGCACACAATGATACACAAAAAAATAAAACATCAAAAAGCATCATGCTCACAATTTGAAAGTCCAAAAATAAGCAAAAAAATTAAGTAACAGTTTATAAAATGTAACAGTAACATAAAGACATAAAGATGCCATAGCCCGAGTTCAGCTAAAATCTTTCTGGGCTGTCTGTAGATTTCTCTCTGGGACGCTTTGAAAGGATCACAGGCCACTCCAAGCTTCCAGAAGCTCGTTTCCCTGGTCTCACTGATACAGATTCTACAAATCAAAAAGAAAATGTTGTTTGTGTTACACAGAACTTGAAATAAATCAAATCACTAAAGGGGAAACGCATACCAAGTTCTTTTTCAATCTCTTCTAGCTGCTTATCGATTTTCTCTCTCTCTGTGTCTTTTTGGAGCATTTCATCGAACGTTGTTAACTTGTGGTCATTAAGCTCCTTTTCTGCTTCTTTTTTTTTCTCCACTAGTGCTTGGTACTCACGAAGCGCATCTGAAATAAATTTATATTTTAAAACATGAATGTTTACAGACACATACAGACAGATTTATCATGGATATATAAATCTATTTCCTATTTAATCATCTTAGGACTGGATAGTAATTGGACAACTGAAACATTCTAAATCTTTGGTCTGTTATTTTATTCCTGATTAGCCACTATACTGTTCCTGATTATGAAATTATCAATCCTAATTGTTGAGAATGAGTTCACTTTTTTTTCACATTTGAACTTATCCTTAGGGCAAACCATATTTACCTAAGTTGAACAAATTACAATATTCCAGAAAGTTTTTAGTTCATTTTGATTTCTTGCTATGCTGTATTGTGTATTTTTCAGATAACAGCAAACCTTCAAATAATTAACACTTTCTAATGATCATGGATCAAATGCATTCTACCAGCAGTAGCTACTGCTCCTAAGAAATAAAGATCTGCAACCTTTTTCATCAACAGATTGTGTCATCAGCATGATTGAGTTTTCTAATTATACTGCCACTTGTGGCAGAAACACAGAACTGCAGCACTCTTTGGGTCATTCTTGCAGCTGGCTCTTCAGGTTGGTTTTTCCTTTCTACTTTTTCACCTTATGTTGAGTTGCTATTGGTATCTGAGTTTAGTCGGATGCCAGTCACTTCTGAATATCCACATAATCCATCTTGAATTTAACGCTTCAATTGGTTTGACCCGTTTCACAATGACGGGCTTGACATCACATCTGCTGAACATCCTCCTGAAGTACATCCAAGAAAAATAGGCTACAGGCTTAAAGATGTATCGGCGTGGAACAACTGAGGTGTCAGTCTGTTCAACAAATGATGTTTTAGTTGTAAAAGGTCAGATAAAAAAGAATTTTTTTTTTTTATAGATATTTTTACAAAATGTCTCTTTAATGGTGAAAGTAAAAAGGGCTGCAACTAGCAATTATTTTGCAAATGATTAATCTGTGAATAATTTTTCGATTAATAATCGGATAGCCAAAGGTTCCTTCAAGAAGAATTTTTATAAAATTAAACCAGGTGAAACCGAAACGTTTCCACTTGAGTTTTGGATGGAGCATATTGACAGACAAAAATGTTTTGTTTTCTTTTAAATGCAAAATGTTTAAATTTTTTTACAAGCTTTGTATAATTGCTGCTCAATCTGGACTGTTCTGTCAGCTAAAGGCACAATTAAGAGTCTCTACACACAGTTAACGATTAATGGATTACTAAATTAGTTGACAGTTATTTTTATAATCGATTAATTATGATTAAATCCAATTGTTTCAGCCCTTTCAGGATAATAGGCAAATAAAGAAAGTTTTAGCATGAGCTGTCACCTATTTGATCTTTCAGTGTGAAGTAGTGTGGTGGTAGAGGAGCTCCAAACACTTTTAACTGGTCAATTGATGGTGCTCTGTTGTTTTTCCCTCCGAATTTGCCCCTGGCACTGACCCTGTCTCCCTTTCGGGTCAGTATGGTAGGACAAAATATCCTCTTCTCCACAACCTGCGAACAGCAACACATTTAAGCCGAGGCCGAGGATGACACAACTTTGTAAGTAAAAATCTCTCACCTCTTTCCTGTAGTTAGTGGCTGAGTTCAAGTCATCCATCAGGATCGTGTCGCCGAGGAGGTTTTTAAACACTGGTAAGGCAACAACAGGGATGCATTCAGAGACTGGATAATACCTTATTAGAGTTTATCCTCCAAAGTAAAGTAAACATAAACCTAAATAAATCATATTCAACAACTTTTTACTAAAGTAAAAGATGCCTAATTTCTGTTTAAGATACAAGAACCCTTAATAAAGACTTCAAATTTGTCTGGAAATCAAAGTAATCTCTAGACTTAAATAATAAATCTAAAGTGGTGAACATGTAGCGGAGAAAAAACTCGTCACCTTTTGTCAGTTTATCTGGATCACAACTCTCTTTGTGGAGATAAATCAGCAGGTCCTTGGCAAAGACTGGGTTCCCAGTAGGTTTAAAAAGTTCTCTGCCATGTTTTATGTGTGGCAGGAGTCTGCAAGATATTCAAAACCTTTACTGAAAAGGGAATGTCAAATAAACATATTTCCATAATGGATTCTCACTCTCAGCTTTGCAGAAGAATGCACATGAACATATATATATTTTTTTAATTTCTGAAAAAAATGCAGATTTAATGTTTAGTGAGGTGATCAAAGCTTGTTGCCCATAAATAGTAGGCAAAAAACACAGCAACATTCCAACTATTCAAAAAAAAAACAGGAAAAAAAATATCACTTATCAATTATTTATTGGTAATTTACATGTGTTTAAAAATTATAAAATGACCAATGTTTTGTTTTATTGTTTCCAAAGTTTGTCACTAATAAGAAAATGCCATTTGTTCTCATTATATTAAGGTGATTATATCTTGTGATAGTATATTTTATTCCATTCATTTTCTGTCACGCTTTATGTCACGCCTTTGAATGGGTGAGAGGCGGGATACACCCTGGACAGGTCGTCAGTCCATCGCAGGGCAAAACAGAGTCACACAGGATAAACAACCATTCATGAACTCACTCACACCTATGGAGAATTTGGAGAAGCCAATTAAACTAACAGTCATGTTTTTGGACTGTTTGAGGAAGCCAGAGTACCCAGAGAGAACCCATGTATGTACAGGGAGAACATGCAAATTCCATGCAGAAAGACCCCGGACCGGGAATTGAACCCAGAACCTTCTTGCTCCAATGCAGCAATTCCACTGTGCAGCCCCTTGAAATAAAGTCATTCATTCATTTCTTTTTTCTCTAAGAAACCCTAGGAACGCAATTTACAGTAAACATGTGTGCTACCCACTGCTCCCCTGAGCAGCCCCTTAATGATGAGTTAAATTAAAATATTTGATTTTAACTCACTAAATCTGATGGTAAAGCACTTATGTTTTCCATCTTAATGATTCTAATCCAGATGTGTCTGTTCTTCAAAATGGTCAAAAATATTACTTTTGTCACGTTTTATACATATTGCTGTAAAGGTAAAATATTTTCAGAAAAACACAAAATTTATCCGAGTATTACATAAGAGAAAAAAAGAGTTGCTACTGTTTATTCTTTAAATATTTTTTCATGATTTGTCTCCCTCTTCTGGTAAAGAAGCTGTAATACAAGTTATTCTAACTTTTGATGCCTTGTCTCTAATTTTTGATAGCATAACAGTTTTAATAGCAACATTAATAACAGCAATAATTATAATAACAATAATGATAATAATGTGATCATAATTTTTATAAACCATTCAGTTTTATGCTCTTGCCATAGATTTCAAATTAGAGGTAGATTTCCACTCAGATCGCATTATTCTAAAAAAAAAATAAAAAATTTTGATCTACACTTTTGTAGCACAGCTCTAAATCTGTTATGCTCCTCTAGCTGTATTTCTGCTGGACAGTAAACTATCAAATCTGATAGGATTGTTTTCTAGAATTATCTTTTATTTAGATCCATCAATCTTTCCATAAACTCTGGCTAGCTGTCATGTGCTACCTGAAGAAAAATATGCACACAGCATGATACTGCCATGGTGTTTCAATGTAATCTTAACCACTGGTCAGAGCATAAACACAGACATCAATCAGAGCTTTTCCTATGGCAACCAGAAGCTGGAAAAAAGGCTTATTGCAGAAAAAATATAATACAAGGGCACTTAGCCAAAGGTCTGTTTTTATATCCACACTGACAGCTAGTCTACCTAGAAATATCCTATCCCTTCTCAGGGAGTTGGGTTTAAGAACCAAAGCTGTGTGCGGATGTGGGTCAAAGTACAACTAGAAACCAGTACATGACCACAAACACCAACTCTGGCTGCTTTCCTTACAGCGAGGTGAATTCTACAGCACATACATTAGTGTGATGCTTAAATTTTACTCCAACCCTAATGTAAATGTATATATGTACTAAACTAAAATAGTTTAAAACTGTACATGAACACCAAATTTGAGTCTAGAGCCATCAAAGTGGAAACATTTATTTAACAATGCATTCTAAGAAAGATTCAATCTAGGCATATTTTTACTAAATATTGTTTTACCGGCTTCCCTGGTGCACAAGAATGCTGTCGAGAGGCATGACCTGCTGGTTGCCCATTGGTTTTTGGTGGAGTTTCTGAGCTGCTTGTGTTGTGGTGGTGATGACGCAGTCCATGTCTCCCTGCAGGTGCCAGGAGATAACCCTTGCAGCATCATCATCAGCAACAAAAGCCAAGTGGCCAACCTGCAGCCAGCAAGACAACGCATATAGACACAGACCTCAAAAGGAATACTGCTTTTAAATCTCCCTAATCACCATTCCAAGAATATCTGGCCCGCTGAATTTGTTAGGAATGGAACAAACTCTGATACTTTTCTCTATGTTTTCAACCTCTACTTTCGTCTGTTTTAGATGTTCTGCAATTTCTTCAATCTGAAAAAAGATAACATACATGTCCTATTGAAAAAATACATGAGAATTCAATTAAACACAAAATTGAGAAAAAGACAAGGACTTACTGATAACTGGTGTTCTATTTTTAGGCCTTTGTGTTTCAGCTAATTTCTGAAAGAAATCTCTTTCTCTGTTGTGTCTTTGACCTCATCTAGAGTAAAAATAAAATTTTAAGCTACAGGAGGAACAGAAAAAGGGAGTAGAAATCATATAAAAAAAAACAGAAGAAATGCTGGTATCTTAAGAAGGGCCAGTCTATCTCAACTATGAATAAACATACCCATTCATAAAAGACATTTTAGTGAAACCTTGTGGAAAGCATACAGCCCTTAAGGGAAACAGTTACATATAGCGTTAATATAAAAAATATCTTACTTTCAAGGGAAGCCTTTTTTTCACGAATTAAATTTAATGATTTCTTGGTTTCTTTAATAGCTTCACTCATCCGATCCTTTCTCCTCATCAGTTCACATCTTTTTTGCTGGTTCTCAGCATCTTAAATGTCAAGAGAAAGACAAAAGTCGTGAATATCAGGAATTTATATCAAACATAATTTTTATTTTTACAGAATGATTGCTCATTCAGGTTTTACTAGACTTTTAGTTTCGCAAAATAGGTCTACATTTGAATACTGCTAATTATTTGCTTCAAATCTTTAAAAGGTAACGGCTTTGTGTGTAAAGCTGAAACCAAACCTACAACTCACAAATTCAAGTGGCAGCATTCTACATTAAACCAAAAGGTTTAGCTAAATAAGCGTAGTAATACTAAACAAGAATATTACTCTAGTAAACATAAAAAGTACAGCTACTCCTACAAGTAATTCGCCTAAATAATTACTTTTTTTTATTACTTTTTGGTAACTGCTTTTTTTAAATCAAGTTTTACCACAACTACATTAGTTGCACTAAACATAATGATTAAATAATTATAAGGTTCCTAATAGACTTAAAATTTTTACTCTTTTGTTGTATAAGATGCAAAGTAGCTGCTTATAATTTATTTCGTTATCTGACATATAGCATTCAGAACACTTGACCTTTCATTTACAGTACAAGAATGACTCGCATCCAGGGATCTTTAAAATACCCTTGTAGAACTTTTACATTTTAAATTGTTATATTTTGACAGTAAAAACCTCAAGCGATGAGATTGTATTTGTCTAAAATAATATTTGTTCATAATGCAATATCTGTTTGATGTTTAAATAACAAGATCCATTTATGTTATTCTCAAACTAATACTGCATGAGATATAAGTTTTTTATCTTTCAAATTTTTTTTTTCTACATCTGTAAAGAAGCTTTGTGCTTGTTATTAAATGTAGTTTGTAAAGTGTACCATTGTAAAAATAGAAGGGCAGCTCAAAAGGACTAAGAGATGTGGGCGGCATCGTCACCTCAGGCCTGAAGAGGAGAATATATCTTCTTCCGTTCTCACCAGGACTGTTCTCTGAAATTGCTAAACTCTAAAGATGAGGTGAAAGGAAGTTCTCTGTGATGACAAACATAAAAGTTGTTTATGCTGCAGAAAGAGTGCTACTCACATCAATATTGGCAGTTCCTTCTTTTAAGCTAATTTGGACGTGGCTGTTTTTGTCTTTAAACAAGGGGAGACTTCTGGGTATTTCTCCGTCAGGACACTTCATTGAGATGAACACCTTACCGTTCAAGTCCTGCCCAGCTGGATTACCATGCTGATCCTGCAAAGAATTCAACAAATCTAAAGCTGTCAATTACAACAACAAAAACAGATGTTTCCTATTGGGTGGGATATTCAGAGTTTTTTTGCTGACATGTGTTAAGAGTAAATCTGATGCCTTGAAAGGACTGGAGCTCACCATAATCTTTAGCGTCACATTTTCAACCAATATTCGATTGCTGATGTCTATACAGTGGAAAACAACTGGGGTTTCTAGCTGGCATTCGGGTTCCAGTTTGATTGGTTCATTAGCCACCACCTTTATATTGATCTATGAGAGGGAGAAAAATCAAAAGATCAGCAAAAGCTTTGAACCAAATTTCCACAATACCTAAAACAAAGTTTTAAAACATCTTACTGGAAACAATACACGAGAACTTAGCCTTTTAAGCCACTAAGACCTTGTGGAGTATTTAAGTGCACCATGGTTGATCAGCTCATTGTCAGAGGGCAATGACTATATCACCATGAGCAGTGCTTCAGTGCTGTGCTTTAGCCCTGCTCTCTCTGGCCATTGGAGGATTTGCCATATCTGCCACTTTAGCCATCCGTAAGTTGGTACATCCCATGCAGGGATTTTTTTCCTCCCTTGATAGTTCCTACAGTTCCTTCAATTCCAGCCCCACTGTCTGAGACATTTACTAATCGCCTCATCCGTTGGATTATCCCTGATGTATTCATGGAGCTTGGATGTTTCATCTTTATTGGCGTCCTGATGCTCACTGGGCCTCTACCTCCTTCTTTGTGCTTAGTGTATAATCTGTGCATGCTGGATTTGTGGTGGAATCCACCTTTGCATGGAGAATAGATTCTGTGTTTTAACATCAGTGGCTTGAATTTTCTCCTTGGGCCATCTGTTTATTCCAGAAGGGTATCTGATTACTGGCAAAGCATGTTGATTACCTGGACCTTGTTCTGACCATTGAACTGACTACTCAGAACTTGCATATAAAGAATAATTGTTTAAAGTGAAGTGTAAAGTTTTCTACCAAATTACTAACACATATGTAGATAGACAGAAGAACAGATGTATGTCAATCAATTATATAATCTGCTGGCTATCCTGAGGCCTGGAGGCAGAGACATTCAATTACCTTAAGCTACAATAGCTGCTTGCCGCTATGGGTATTATTATTTTACATTTTTAATGCATGCATACTCAACGCCGAACTGTGCTTTATTAATGTGTGCAAACTTACCTGAGTCCTAAGCTGATCCTCTGTTTTGTTGCTTTGTAGAGCAAACTCTACAGTATACTCCCCTGCATGTTTTGGGATTGCTTCTCCTCTGCAGTAAAGCACACACAAGTTTCACACATGTCCAAAAACTGTCTAGGAAAAGCCATTTGATGTCTGTTTTAGTTAAGTAAAAGTTAACATTCCTTTAGCTCACTATTTAGGTTGCTTGATTATGAATAAGTGCCTTTATTTAGTCCCTGCCCTTGCTTTATCTGTACTGTATAGAAATAGGAGCATCAGCTGTTAAATCGAGCAGATAAAAACGAAAGCCCTAAAATCTCAGCTATCCTAATTTTCTATTCCTCTAAACATTTAGCAAAAAGCCAATGTTGAAAAAAAAACTTAAAGTACAATATTTATAATGGTGACATTAATAAAATACTTTTTGAATAAAAATAACTGAATGCAAAATAGAGATTATTTAAAATTAAATCACCTAAATCGATAACAGTGATTCTCCTCATCTTTAATAGGTTTTCCGCATGTTGGCATAATGTCCTGAAAAATGAATGTTAAGTGTATTATTGAACATATCTTACTTACAATGAGTAGAGACTCATGATGATATTTGATCACTTACTGTTTCAGGTTGTGTTGCCGACCCTTTCTCCCACAGGGACATAGATAGATCTTCAGGTTTAAAAGTCTTCATCTGACTCCCCTCTTCAGAAAGCACAGTCACTGAAAAATCTGCAGATCACATACAGCTAAAATTAATTTACCAAACTGTTAAGAAAAGAGGCTACTAAGATTTTATCAAGAAATAAAAACCTGGAAATGTGCCTCCAGCAGGGAATCTGGCATGTGTATCGTATTTCACTGACAGGTTCACAGGTTTGTTGGGATCAGGGAGTAGAATGAGTTTCACTGATGGACCAGGGATGGATTTGCCATTTAAGGAACCCTTAAACTCCAGTATGTAGGACCCTCTAGAGAAGGAAAGGAGTAAAGAAAGAAGTCTTACCTGTAATGAATAGCAAATCTGTCTAAATTAAAATCTCTGGGCGAGCTGACATTTGTGGTAGTCTCTGGAAAATGTTGAAATGGAAAAACTTAGTTGTTCCGTCAGTCAGAATATCAATAAAACAGATCAAGAACAGAGGATGTGAAAGCCGGGCATTAAAATTAGGTGGTATGGAGGAGGGGGTTATCTATGCTACAATAACACAGCATATTATATACATGCCCTGAGCCCCAGAGCACAACAGAGCCTCCTCCGTGTTTCACAGTAGGGACAGTGTCCTTTTATTGATAGGTTTCCTTTTTTTAGCCTGTGAGAAATAAGCTGATGAGTCTTAGCAAAAAGTTATTTTTTTTATATATCTCATCTCTCTATGGGACATCCTCTAAGATGCTTTGTGGCTTGTCCCCATGTAGTCTGGCAAATTCCAGTCTGTCTTATTATGATTTGGTTTCAACAAGAGTGTCCTCCTTGATCGTCTCCTATTAAGCCACTTTGACCTAAACAACAATGGATGGCTCAATCTGACACTGAGTCTCCTTGAGCTTCAAGTTCACCTTTAACCTTTTTAGAAGGTTTTCTGGGCTCTGGGCTTTAAGCCAACCCTTAAAAGTAGAAAGGGTGTTTGCCTCCCAGACTAAAACTGGTACTGTAGTTGGTTCCATAAGAGAGGGGCCTGATAACTAAAAGATCTGCTTCCATTTCTACTTATAGAAATTCTAGGAACCACTAGTAAACCTGCAGATTGAGAGCAAAGTGCTCTTTTAGGAGCATAAGGAACAATCAGATCTCTGATATAAGATGGGGCTTTGCCATTTAAGGCTTTATATGAGAGGAGGGGGATTTTAAATTCTATTCTGGATTTAACAGGAATCCAATGAAGAGAAGCTATGATAGGAGAGATATGATCTCTATTTTTAATTTTCATCAAAACTCTGGCTGCAGCATTTTGGATCAGCTGAAGGCTTTTAACTACAGTTTGTGGACTTCCTGATAGTAAAGAATTATAATAGTGCAGTAACAAATGCATTAACTAGTTTCTCAGCATCACACCTGGACAGGACATTTCTAATTTTTTGCAATATTCTGCAGATGAAAGAAGGAAATTCTAGAAACCTCTTTGATATGGGGTTTAAATAACAGGTCAATTCAATCCAATCCAAAGACTATAACTTCTGTTTCAAGACATACCTGTAGTCTATGTAATGGGTTAGTTTCATCTGAATTTATAGACAGATATTGTTGTGGCCCAGCTTTGACGACACAAAAAGATTCCCAAAGGCCTCAGATGCACCATGGACAAGTAATTTATGCAAGCAAAAGAAAAAAAATTCCAGGTTTTCTTGGTTTAATTCTCCTTAGGCAAGCAAACAGAAAAACAGAAACATTTCCTCCATGCTTCTCTTGTGCTGGTAAAAAAAAAAACATATGCCGACCCAGATGCATGCTGGTCCTACCATTGACAGCCTTTTCGCTTTCTGATCTGCATATTAGTGTTTGAATATGAGAGCATTAGTGAGTGATGTTGGATGAATGTGTTAATAGTCTGAAGTCCTTTGAATGGTCAGTGTGACTAATTAGTTATATAAATTTGGTGCCTTTAACAACTTCCCTGTCCCTGTTAAAGAAATCCCTACAGCATCAGGCTGCCAACACGGTTAATAGTGTTTGTGTTTGGCATCATAGGCAGCGTTACTTTTCCTTCACACATAACAAAGTGATAGGACATCTAATGAGTGATATGAAGCTTATTGTATGAGTTTATCATTACATATGTTACAATAAAAAAAGAACTTATGACTTCTCATGTTTTGTCTTCTCGACTTTCTAAGGTCCCAATACTGCATCATTTAGAGAGCCATTAATCTTAAAAATCCAAAGAATATGATAGATTGATGGAGAAAAAATGAATTGCAAAATGACAATAAAAGTAAATATAAAAAACATAACCATGGCATGTAGTAGTAAAGAATTCAAATAGGATGCCCAGTTTCTGTAAAACTGCACCAAACTTGGGACATGGTGCGTTTTTGAGACTTACTTTGAACCTTTCAGATTATTAATAGTGAAGCAGACTTTCCCTTCTGAGTCCATGGGTTGTGACTTAACATGTGTCAGCTGAAACAATAACAATAATCCATAATATTGTTAAAACAGAATTATTCTCTTTTTCTAAATTTTAAAATTTAAAATTGCAGACAGCTAGGCATGTTTACTTTTCTAAAACCAACCTTTAGTGTCTCAGGTGAAGGTTTCATCTCAACAGTTAAGTTTTTGTCCGGAGAAGGATTTCCCCACTTATCACATAGCTGGACAGTAAATGGTGTTGGAATACCTTGACAATTCAATACCTGCAATGGCTAAATAAGACCAAAAAAAGTTGTTAATGTTCCATCGAAAATCAGGAGGTTACACAGAAATTAAGTGAAGATCTTTGTATATCCTAGAAAGACACCAGCTTATTGGTGTCATGGTTTTGGTTATGTTGTGCTTTACTTTGCTCCTTGTTTTCTAGTTTTATTGGTTTAATTCCTTTTTTGTTGTAATTTCTAGATTTATGTTAGTTCTCATTTTTTCTGTTGTCCTCTGTTGCCCTCTTGTGTGTGTGTGTGCTCCTTTCCCCTTGGCTCCCTCATTGTCTCCTCTCACACCTGCTCCTTGTCAGCTCGTTAGCATTCCCTTTGTGTCTGTCACCTATTTATGTTCTCCCTCTGCTCTCACTCTTTGTTGGTTCCTTGTTGATGCTAGTCCTGTCTTCGCTGTTGTCGTCTCACCTCGTCTCTCCCTGGCTCCTTGTACATGTTTTCCCTTGACGTCTCCATGGTTCTGGTCTGTTACATTTTTAGTTCAATTTTTGGATTCCTACCTTTGTTAACCATTTTCATCATTAAATCTACAAGTATTCACCTCAGCCTCTCTGCCTCTGCATTTGGGTCCTCCAAACCACTACCAAACCCTGACAAATGGAGGACCAACACAAAAAGATGTAGTGATATCAGATGTTAGCATACATAGCTCAACAAGCATGTAAAAAAAGAAGAAAGCTTATTGTTTCAAAATATCTACACCATTACCTCAATCTTTTTTTAAGGAAGGAGGTCATTTAATATATTTTTATAACATAACATATAGGAACTACTTATTTACATCAATCTGTATAGGGCCTGATCGTATTCCAAATAAGGAGTCTAAATTGTGTGGTGAGAATTTTTTTTTTGCAGTGAATGACGGGGGGTTGAGAGGGATTTACAAAGACTGCACGTACAATGAATAAAGCATGTAAACAGAATCGGTCTGTGCTACGCATATGAGTAAACTGCATATGCTACTTATGGTTGAGAGTGGCAGTAAAATAACTACTAAATTCTGAACAATTAAGTTAAAGGTATTAAGGATGTAATTAATTGGAACATAAGTAATAATTCATTAAATGGTATAGTGCACCCACCCCATATATATATATATATATATACCGTAAATTCTCTAATATTGGCCTGTATTCCAATAGCGGCCGGGTCTCTAATAATGGCCGGTCTCGCTGTCAGAGGAGGTAAATAATGGCCGGTCTCTAATACAGGCCGGGGCTATAAACGTTTTTTCTGGGCATACCTTAACATTATACTTGTGGTAGTAACATACAAGTACCACAGCCCTGCGCAGCTGGACGACAGGCCCTGACTGCTGCCCGTCTGCGCGAGGAAGAGAACAGACATGCAGCAGAACAGGAGGAGCGCGAGTGATGAGGAGATTAAAGGGAGAGATGAAGAGGAGGAGAAAAACTGAGGAGGAGAATTAAACAGAATTGGAGGATTTTTTTTTTTTTTTTTTTACTTCAAACCAAGCGAGACATGGTAACTGTACTTTTTCAATAAATGAACCTAGTGTTTTATAGGTTCAAATAGACACAAAATCTCATTTTTATTCATTCCACTGGTAGTCTGTTTTGCTCAAATAGCAATAGAGGCCTGTCTCTAATTCTGGCCTCTATCCAATAAAGGCCTGGACCGCGATGCACTTGAGTGAAATAAAGGCCCGGGCCTATATTAGAGAATTTACGGTATATATATATATATATATATATATATATATATATATATATATATATATATATATATATATATATTATTAATAGTCATGTTATTGGACTGTGAGAGGAAGCCGGAGTACCCAGAGAAAACCTCAGGGAGAACATGCAGACTCCATGCAGAAAGACTCTGGGAATCGAACTCTGAACCTTCTTAGGTTAATACACTAAAGACTAAACCAGCATTGCGTTGGTACCACATGAGGTTTATTCAAAATGAACAAGAATAAATTATAAACATTTCCCACTATTGCTCTTTTTTGTTTGTTTTCTACCTGTTCCGGACCGCTGACCAGTTTAAGTTGGAAAGGCATTCCTGGTGTTACTTGGAGGATGACCTGTTTAGTGAAGTGTTTGTAACTGAAGCAAATGACTCTGGGACCAGGAGACACTGACAGGAAACGAATTCCCATCACCCCAATTGAGCTGCCGCGCTCCTAAAAATACAACGAGGAGTTTAATAGGCTTGACATTCCCTGGAAATAAATTTTACATTTTAACAGAATAAATAAATTCCTATTGATTTTCAGTTAAAACATCTGTGTTCTTACGTTCCATTTGAATTTGATTTCTGATTTGTCCAGACCCTCAGCTTCCACAGAAAACAACTGAGCACACATGGGGGTGAGCTTCTTGCATACATTATCATACTTGTCCACAAGCTGCAACTCTGTGTAAAAGGATTAAGATAAATCACAATATGATGTAAATCTAAAGCTCTATATTTTAACTGGCCAGGTGCACTGAAAAAATAATGCATCCGCTTTTGGCATTTACTTAATCATATTTAGTCATTTTAACACATTTTTTTTTTATGTCCTACCCTGCTAACATAAAACAAGCTAACATTTTTGCATTATTTTTTTAGTAATAAGCTCACTGATGTGTCCAGATAAGGTTTCTCCAAGCTTTAATGTGCTTTGAGTCAGAGTGGATTTTAGTTGTGCTGGTTCATCTGGGCAAGGTCTGTAAAAGAACAACAAGGATGTAAATTTTTAGAAGGAAGTTGGTTTTCAAGTGGAAAAGGTGGATTTTAACATTACAATTTCAAGAGTCAAAAATAGACATTTAAAAAGTACACAGTATTCACGTACGTTTTTAGAGCAACTAATAAAAATAACAGCTATATAATAAAAGTAATTATACCCCCCCTATTACTCAGTATTTGTTTTACACCAAATCATTCATGAACTACAGCAGCTGGCTATGACTATGTGATTTAACAGAAATGCAGCAGTTGCTCAGTCGCATTTATTGGAATTGCAACTTATACTCACCAACTTGGTTCTTACTTGGGTACTTACGGTAAATGCAACAAAGCTGAATAATGAATCTATACCTCCTGATATTTGCAGTATGAGCTGCTTTGTTTCTTACTGCTGCTTTAAATAAGTTTAAAAGCTAATCTGACTGCTTTCCAAAATTTTCTAAATACACTTTAACTCTCAAACATAAAATTGCTACAGAACTGTGATATCATTAAATAATTTTGTTGTTTATAGTTATTGATTTAAATGAGTTTCAGTAGCTTAGAAAATATATTTATTTTTACAGAAACATGTTTAACTTAGAGTTAAAATATTAGTATTAAAAAATTTGAGATTGAGCCACACATCTATTATCCTAATACACACATGCTTGGGCATATGGTTACAGAGCTCCTTATTTAGAAGATAATAGTTGGCCATTTGAAATGTTTCCACCTTTTCATATAGATTATTTGTATTATTTGTATTGTTTGTGTCATTTATCACCATTTCTTTAGAGGTCTAGAAATGATGCTGCATTAACAAGTCAACAATAGTGCAGACTGATGATAATACCTGGATAGTGCCTTTTTTCACTTATATGTAACTTCTTGTCTTTAGGGCTTATTTCAGTCATAAATTATACTTGGTACAAACAAAAACTGACGTTTCCCTCAATATGCTAATTTGCGGTACAGTCAAGAACACACACACAAAAAAAAACTAAGTCACCGTCATTAAGTTGTGCTTACACAATTTTAAAGCAGGAGGATACGTTCTTGTCCCGGTAGGAGACCTCGTAGTAGTGCTTTTCCTGCACATGAGTGCTAACATGTAGATCTGGTAGCTTTCCCATTAGCAAATCTCTCTGATCAATATCTCTTTTCCATGTAACCTTAAATACAGACAACAAAGTCACATTGACATTTATAGAATAAGAAACACACAGTGAGATAAAAATCCAATAAATTCAACCTTAAAAAAGCCAGAAGTCCTTCATATCAAACACACCTTAATATTGGAGGCAATTTCAGCCGTGATTGGGACCTCTCTTGCAGCCTCATCATACAGCTTATAAAACAGGTTCTCCAGTACTCCTCCAGCTTGCCAATCAATATTTTCATTGTTCCTTAAGACCAGCATTTCCTCACCCTTACAGAAAAGCACCATGCGACAGATACGATTGCTGGGCATGACCACCATCTCCTTAGTGATTGCTTTAACCTGCTTCTGGCCCTAATTGCACGAACAGAGAGAGGAGGGGAACATTTTAAACCTTGAAGTATACAGCTAGGACAGTGTTTCTTAACTTACAGGCATGTCAAATTTAGCTTGGAGTATTTGTTGCTCTCCATTGAGTATTTCTCGGTTAATGGGAACTGAGACAAGTTCAGCTTTTCCTGTGCTGCAGTCTTTTATCACAGATGGCAACCCCCGAATCTGAAAGCCGAGAAAAAAAAATCTAAATAATAACAATTTAAGAATATATTTATTATTGTCAGATCAGGGTCAGGATAACGGTTTAGGCTATATAAATATACTGGTATAAAAAAATAAACTTCTTAGAAATTTGCCAATTATTTATATCCTTAACATATTCAGACCTTTCCATACATATATTGCATGGCAAATAGAACAAGTGTTTTCATATCTAACAACTTTTAACGTAATTTTTGTGTTATAAGATAGAAAAATAATAACTGTAATGTGATTTTTTTAAGTGATATAAATTGCTTTGTGGAAAGCTTAGAAATTGTTCCAGTTTCCCTTTTAAAAATTTCAGAGTGGTGTATTTTTGAAAGCTTATTAATAATTTGCTTATGGACTACAATATATTTTCACGTATACCACGTCAGTTTAGCATGATTTACCTTCCAGACACTTCTATAGGAGATAGGAAATACAATTTCTTAGCATGCTATTGAAGATTTGAGCAAGTTTTAGGGGCTGCTCCATTTTTAGATGTTTGGCTTTTAGTTATTAGAATGATGTAGCCTATAAGGTAAAAAAAAGAAAAAAATATGATTACGCTAGCCTTAAAGGTAAACAACAGTCTATGTCCAAACCTGGAAGCGAACTTCTTGCTTAGATTTAGCTGTGATGTTTCCAGCTTCATCATGGACTTCAATCATAAAGCAGACTGGGTTTCCATTCTCCACTGAGTCGGTGTTTGATTCAATATGAAGTGAATGAGGATTTCCTGAAAAGGTAAATATTTATAAGAAGAATGTGTTCCCTCTTTGACAGATTAGAGGCCCAGTGTCACTTTGTCAATTTTAAAAAATGTGTCTTGCTTCTTGGACCTTTTGCCAACTGGATATATTCCATTTAAAGACACTGGAAAATAATCCAGGATCATTAGAATAAAAAAAAAACATTAAGTATTTCCAAAGCCATTAGGAGACCATAAACTCAAATTCTTGAGAACTTGTATCTTCACAAATAAAATCAGTCTTACCAGGGGAAAGGGTAAGCTTGACAGTCTTTGTATCATCCTTAAGCCCAGGCAGTATCACTTTAAGGTCAAAATTCTATATATAAAAAAAATAAAAAAAAATAAATAAAAATGATGGTAAACACCTTCATCCATCAGATGTTATTGTCTTGGTAGAGCCACACAATATTACAAAAACAAGCAATGGGAAAAATCATGTTTATGACAGTTGCAATTCAGCCACATCCCTAAGTTTTTGATCAGTCCTTACATTAGACCCAACTTTCTCTGTTGCCCTTATCATTTCATTGATTCCAACTGTGTTGGGTGTGAATTCATTATAGCAAGTTTAATAAGAAACTTTTTCACTTCAGTTTGACTATCACAATTCTGATCTTTTCGTCTTAAAACATCAGATTTTAACCACTTCTATATTGGAAAGATTGTCAATAAATTAGATAATTTTCTTCCAGTTTTGTGTCACTCAGTCACATGACCAACAAAACTACTGTAAGAATAAGTAATTTTGACCCTGCTTGCCATTTTTGTGCTGCTGTGTGCGACTGTCAAATGAGAGCAGAGACTGCACCTAACTTTCAGCCTTCGAAAACACTCCACAGTCCACCAGGGTACGCCTTCCTTGCAGTATTATTCAAATGTTATATGTGTCCCAAAGTAAGGTAGGGGGGGGGGAGTAAGCTCTAGAGCATTGGGAGTTGTATTTTAATAATAGCAGTAATGACAGTTACATCATTACTACTTTCATAAACAGTGTGAAGCCTACATTTTCCTCTGTATGTGCTGGCTGCGTTGGTATCCTCAACCATGCAGACAGAAGTCTGATAGTCAAGGTTAGTAGTATGAACCCCCACATGAAAAATGCCGGTATTTAAATTCAGAAAAATGTTATTGAGCATAAAGCCCTCCTGTGTGAATGTAGCCAAAGCAATTACCTTGGTTTGTAGATAATGAGGCAGTTTTCCTGTGACTTTCACACCTTTGATAGTTATCATGTTCTCACTACGAGCTGTTGTCTCAAACCTTGGATTCAGATCACTTAAGGATTAAGTGAAAAGCAAAGTAAAAGAGAAAAAAATTCAATATAGCATGTTTAAAAAAAAAAAAAATTATTGAAAAGTTTGATTGTAAAAAAAGACTAAGTACTGATTAATGTCCCACCTGCACTGAAGTTCAGGTTGGAGTTGAGGAGGAGGTTTTGTGGGGTGGCCATAACAATCCTCCATCTTTAGATTAATGCAGTGGTTCTCAAACTTTTTCTGTCATTCCCCACTTTGGACAAGGGGGAATTTTCAAGCCCCGCCTGTCCCCATCGCCCCAACACAATGCTAATGAAATATTCAACAATCTTAAAATGTTCCAATTTTATTGAAGTAACAAGTAGTATCTAAATACAAATCTACATCAAATAACAGCAAGCTCAAAAATAAAGAAAATAAAAATGCAGCTGTGTCAAAATTTGTATCAAGCTCAAAGATAGAAAAAATTAAAGTGCCACTCTGCAATCTGTTAATAAAAGAAAAGAAGTGAAATCCATCTGGCAAGACAGGTCTATTTATCCCTGCATTAGTGGCTGCAATGAGCCTGTTTTGCATTGCAGTTTCTCAAAACGGGGTTGCAGGCTTGATACTGCCACTCTCAAGTCATGCTCAATGTTCTGCTGAGATCTGTATTTTGTTTTCATTGAAGCAGCAGCTGAAAAGCCCATCTCACAGAGATATGATGTGGCAAAGGGAAGAAGAATGCACACAGCTCTCTGCCCGATGAGTGGATACTCGCTCTCCACTCCTAACCAGAAACATGAACATGTGGCTGTGTGAATCAAACGCCGTTATTTATTTAAGATAAAATATTTCAAATTCAGTTATTTATGATCAACCTGCGCCGTCAATCCCGGCGCATGTGCGCTTTATTTGCAGTCTGGACGCAAAAGTTAAACATGCTGTGTCTCTGCTCTGACTGCAGCGCTGATAGGGACTCCTGCAATAGCGGGGGAGAACGGGGTTGGGACGGGGGAGGCGCCCCATGGCAGCACCTGCCGCTGGAGGACAAGAAAAGGAACGATACGTGCTTTCACGTAAGAGTCTCCAAAAGGCGCTAGATTTGTTTTTTTGAAAAAGAGTCGCTGGAGGGGTCTGAAATATAGCGACAAAGTCGCTGAGTTGGCAACACTGGGGCGCGAAAGTTTATTCTGTTACAAATAATATGCCGACGTCACGTCAATCATTATTTTGGCACTTCAGTTCCAGGTGAAATTTTTCTCATATCTAATGTTCTTTTAATTAGACTGCATGTAGGCTAGTAATGATTACTTTGTGGGTTTGATTGGTCTAAAAAGCGGCAACATACAGCTATAAGGACAGTTTGCTCTCACACATTCTACATTTATAGTCACACACACACACACACACACACACACACACCGGAACTTGGCGCGCCCCACCTGTCAAGTCTCAATTCCCCACCAGTGGGTCGCGCCACACACTTTGAGAACCGCGGGATTAATGTCAAAAGGCACCCCTACACGCTGAGAGGAACTTAACTGCACAGTAAATCTCTCAGCATTTCCTTCTAAACTGCCAAACAAAAAACAAACAAAAAAACACACACACACACATGTCTCTCTGAAGAATAAAGAAAAAAAACATTATTCAGACCACTTCACAACTGGCAGCAAAAAAATTACTTTACCCTTGATTGTAAAATCATGTACATAGCTTGGCAGCTCTCTGCCACCATAGACCGTGGCACCATTTTCATTCAACACAGCATTTAGAGTCAGTGTGTACTTCCCCAAGCTCCTCAAGTTTTCTGCACAGAAAACCACTTATTCTTATTAGCAATATAGGAGAACAAAATTTATAAATAAATAAACAAATTACTGTTTTGAGTACTCATAAAAAAAAAAAATAATAAAAAAAAACTTACCAATTTTTGTGAACCAGTATCCATTTTTTGAATAAGGGGCGGTGATACTAAAAACCTTGATGTTTTCTGATATACCTGTGTAAAAGCACAAACAAGCAAGCACATCTATTAACTAGGGTGACCATATTTTCATTTGGGAAAACCATGACACCTTGAAGTGGGGGGGTGGGGGGGCTGCAGGGGGGATCTCTGTTCCCATGCATAGAGATGTCTGTGGCATGCACTCACTTAACATAGGCCTACGTAATCCTACAATAACATGATATTTACAGTTGATTTATTAAAAATGCATGTTGTTGGCTTACTGACAGCCATGCAATCTATATTGTGATTAAGAACAGGGCTGCCCGCACTGACGCGGCTCAGGGATTACGTCACACGCAGCACCGTGCGCAGTGCCCTAGTGCTTGTAAATGTAAAAGTCCAATGAAGGTAACTTAAAAAACAGGACATTTCCTTACTTTCAAAAAAAAATCCGGGATGCCCGGGACAGGACTAGAAATACGGACATGTCCTGGGAAATACAGACGTTCGGTCACCCTATATTAACCATTCAGATAAAAATAAAGAACCTGTATTACTACTAATAATGTAAAATCTCCATCCACCCAGCCTTTAATGCCGAGTCTTCAAGTCAGAAAACATACAGTGAATGTGGTAAGGTGTTCATGTCACTCTTTGGTTTGCTTATTTTTTCCTGAGAGAGTGTGTAGCTTTATGATAAGTAGATGAGAAACCCTGAGTTCAAATCCATTATGCTGTTTCCACAGCTATGGCTAAGAAGGCTGACCTAAGACAAAGAAATAAAGGTCCCAAAGTCCCAGAAAATGTGCAGTTCGTCCAACAATTGGGGTATCAGTGGTTTAAATGATTCAACAGGAGGGTTATACAAGGTTTAAACCCATAAACTCATAACTAGTTCATCACAGTGGATATACATAATAGCAGTGTTGTTTACTTGTCTGCTAATTTGAGAGGAATTTCCCTGCACAAACAGAAATAAAATGCTCTGGGGGTCTCATTGTTTTCAATGTAGCATAATAAGGGCCCATCAACAAATAAATTACTTGAGTTAATTCAATGTTGAAAGGTTAAATCTTTTTGGAAAAGTCAGAAAAATAAAATACTTTCAGTGAATTATAGGCAAACAAGCACAAATAATTGCCGAACCAAGTGCCTTTCTGGGAAATTTAAAGGCTTAATATTGTCAATGGTTTTTAACTTCAAATTAATCCACAGAAAAAAACTCCAGACAGTGCATGCAGTATTTTTTCTATTATAAACAAAGATCATTTTACCATTGAGCTCCACCTGAAGCAAAACTCCCAGCTTTATCCCTGGCCCCTTGCCCCCTGTATGTATTCTTGATGAGATTGGGGCTTTGTCTCCATTTAGAATTTCAACTTTGAGAGGTCCTAAAACAAAGGTATGGTTAATGAGGAAAAGAATCAAAAATAGATTTTGTGTTCAATATTTTTAATAAGCGGCATGCAGACACTGCAAATATATACCTAAAGGAGTCCCAGCAAGCAAAACAGCATTTTTAGGCAAAGGATTACCCTCTGGCCAGTCCACTTTTAGGTGTTCTGGTAGCCTGAAACAAACGATTTATATAAAAATGAGTACCCTTTCAGCAAAAGAATTCTACATAGGTGCAAAAAAATAAAGATATAAAACAAATATTATACAATTCCACAACAACGAAATACTATAAATAAACATTTCTGAAAAGTAAAATTTCCTCCACATATTGCCTTACTTCTTCCTTTCAGACTCAATGTGTTTTTTGATGCTTTCATCAGTGGCAGTTCTGTCAATTTTAGTAATGGGTATAACCTTGGTCATCTCATCATAGAGTCCTTCAGGCTCCTACAAATCACATTTTTAAGAATATTTTTTTTGAATAGGCAAAAAAAAATGACATACAATACTTAAATTTTGTTATGTAATGTTATTCTTGTAGAATAAAAACTTGTTAGCTCTACGCCTGCCGAATACACAGACGTCCATCCCCATGAACGCTGGGTCGTAACTCAATGGTAAAGTAAATGATTCTCATTTCTTATTTCAACCGTTGCGTGTATATTAACTGCTGTATATTGACCTAAAAAAAGATGTCATATTAAACAAGTAAAGCTAAAAATTGGGTCGAAAGTTAAGCAGTGTTGCTTTGCTTAATTACAGGAGTTTAATAAAATGCCAACAATAAAAACGTCCTTCAATCAGTTTTTTTCATACAGATTAAATCATTTTCTTACACGTTTGATCTTCACTTCTCCACCAGTGGCAAACACGTCTTCTTGATGATTTCCATACAAGAGAAAATTTATCACAGACCCATAAAGAATTTGTGGTGTCTTCTGAAACTTTAGCTGAAAGAAAGAAAATAATACAATGAGCATCAGTTATCCATTTTTTTTGTTATAGTTCATATACTTCTATTACTTGTCAATTGTAACAATTGCTCCTATAATTATGTATTCCCTGCTAAATTTAGGTTTGAGGATATGTTTTAGGTTTTTTAACAAATCTCTTCAGCATTGGGTGCTAAGAATATTTAACGAGCCATTCAGTTTTAAATAGAATCGCATAAAGTCTAAAAAGTTTTTAAATGTGTATAATTATATTATATGCCTAAAAAAGACCAAAACCATTTGATTATTATAAAAATAGGGTAAGCTGACTAGTTTAAAGTTTTACTTGTGTCCAGTTAAGAACTCTTATCTTCATCCAAATAATGTGTTTTATTTAAAAATGTTTTACCTTAACTTCTGTCATAAAGTGTATTGTACTCTACCTTTCTTGTTTCTGTTAAGGCTATTAAAACAAACAAAAGAAAAAAAACTACACAAGTGAACAAAATTTGGTAACCCTTGTACCATTGTGGGGTAACAGGAATCACTTGTATCTGAAAATAGTAATAACAGCAAAAAATTCTATGAAAATGAACAAAGGTAAGTCAGGCATTGCTATAGCCATGCTTTAACAAAATTATAAAAAAAAAAAAATGAAACAGGCCTGGGAAAAAAATGATGGTGCCCCTAAAATAACTGAAAATACCGAGACCAAAGGGAGTCAACAATCTCGTAATCAGTCAGTAGGCCAAAATAAAGAGGCACAGGAAGTCATTGTGCTGTTTTTTTGGAATTGTGTGTACCTTACTGAACCAGCACCAGATGAATCACAACATATGATTTTTTAACTATTTATTTGTATGATACAGCTACAAATAAGTATTTGAACACCTGTCTATCAGCTAGAATTCTCACCCTTAAATACCTGTTATTCTTCTTCTTTATCCTTCAAAATGTCCACCTCCTCTCCATTTATTATCCTAAATTACATGCACCTGTTGCAGGTCGTTAGCTGCTTAAAGTCACCTGTCCAACCTATACATTTTGTAAGTATCCAGTTACTAACATTGTCTAGAGCAAAGAGCTGTCAAAAGGCACTAGAGCGTTATTGTACACCTCCACAAGCCTGGAAAGGGCTATGGGGAAATTGCTAAGCAGCTTGGCAAAAAAAGGTCCAATGTTGGAGCAATTATTACAAAATGGAAGAAGCTAAACATGACTGCCAATCTCCCTCGCACTGGGCCTCCATGGAATACATACACACACAGAGGCGTGCACAGACATTTTGGGGGGCAGGTGCTCAGGAGGGGGGGGGAGGGCACTTTTTAGCGCACGTGTAACACTTAATTATAAAAAAAAATAAACGCATGTTGAATGAAATTTGACTTTTATTTGTAACATTCTCTAAACGTGAGTTTTCAATGGAAAAAAGTCACATCACCAACAGAACAGACTAAAGCATACTTCTTTCATCTGGCTCATCTCCCTGTTTTTCCCTCACCCATCTGTTCTCCCTAATCCTGGTATTTTTCTGTCTCTGTGTCTTCCCTGAACTCTTCCTCATCTCCTGTCCTGGTAGATGTTGATGGTATAGAGCTTCCCTGCTGTGACTGGCTACAATATATTAATAATAACCATCATGACAATAATAATGATAATAATAATAATAATAATAATAATAACTAGAAAATTTCTAAAGAAATTTTGAGGGGGGCCACCTACTGCCCGTCTGGGTAACTGGGCCAATACGGCCCTGGCAAGTGATGTCGGGGCTCCCCAGACCAACTGCTTACGCCTTTGAGGGCTGCTGAGGGAAGGAAAGAGGGCTAGGTCATGGGCAAAGAGAGCTGTGTGCCACTTGTGCTGAAATCTGGGAAATAGACGTGCACAGCATATGATGCACAAGGGTAATATGGGTTGTCCATATTGAACCGCAGTGGGTAAAGCGCAGTTGGCGGGCTCCGCCCGCCCGCTTGGAGCCCTTGCAGCGATGAAAAAAATCACTAATGGCGGGCTCCGCCCGCCTGCTAAGAGCCATTGCAGTGATGAAATCACCAATGGCGGGCTTCGCCCGCCTTCTAAGAGCCACTGCAATGATGAAATTACAAATGGCTATGAGCAATATGCCAGAATGTATGAGTGTGTATAAGGAAGAGGCTTTTATTCTGTAGAGTCCCTGTAGTCTTATTTTGAAAGTCTATCATGGATGTGCATCAAAAGAGGGGTCATGCCCAGCAGTGATATAGAATCCATTTCCAAATGTTAAATCACTGGTTTTCCATGTTATTAGGTGAATAGCTGCTGTATTACAGAGTAAATGGGAGACTTTTCTTGTGAAATTTGCTCTGGGGTGTGTTTTGAAAAGGTCACTAGAGTCTAATAAAAACAACCTGGAAGAGTTTGGGTCATAATGTTGAGCCATTTGCATCAATTATTGCATTAGTATAATCTAGAGGCTTTTATTTTGTAGGGTCCCTGGAGTCTTATTTTGAAAGTCCAACAGAGTTGTGTTTAGAGAAAATGTTCAGACCCAGCAATCATAGTTGATGACTTTCCAATCGTTAAATCACTCATTTTCCATGTTATTAGGGCAGTAGATGAAGCGGAAATGGGAGGCTTTTATTTTGAAATTTGCCATAGGGTGTGTTTTAAACAGTCTCCTAGAGTCTATTCTCTAAAATGGGGTTGAGTTTGGGTCATAATGTTGAGCCATATAGGGCAATAAATATATGTAAAAAATATAGAGGCTTTTATTTTGTAGGGTCCCTGGAGTCTTATTTTGAAAGTCTATCAGTGTTGAGTGGCAAGGGAAGTGTCATGGACAGCAGTCATATAGTGTCCATTTTCCAATGTTAAATCAGTGCTTTCACCCTCCATTGGATTAATATGTGCTGTTTAAAACAGCAGAGGTAAAATCTCTTTGAAGCACGGTTACCTTGACAACGCTTAACGAGCCTGTCAGTGACAGAGAGAAAAGCGCAGCACTATCGTTCCTTAGCTCTCAGGCTTTTTTGAATGGGAGGAACAGCTGCTGAACAAACGACTGCTGAGCGAAAACCGTAATAGGTATTAGAAAAATTCTTTCAGTGAAAGCAACATCTATCCTTTGTCTCAGACTGGGGTAACCTTCATGTCTGTAGGTCTTTCACAACCCAAAACGAAGCACAAACAAAATGGCTGATCCCACCTGCTCCTCCCTTTGTTTAAACTGCAGCACCACACTCTGTCATCTTTAAGCTGCTATAGCACCCCTCCGAACAAACGACTGCTGAGTAAAAAGCGTAAAAGGTATCTGAAAAATTATTTTTATCTAAGCTAAAGCTATATCTTGTCTTCAATTGGAGTAACTTTCATGGCTGTAGGTCATCTACAACCTGAATGGGAAGAGAAAGAATAAGAAAAAACGGGTCCTCAGTCCTTAGCTTCTAACTGAGCTAGCTGCAGCAACACACTCTCACTCACCTTTAAGCTGCTAAAGCCCCCCTCCGAACAAAGGACTGCTGAGTAAAAACCATAAATGATATCTGAAAAATTATTTTTATCTAAGCTACAGCTATATCTTTACTTCAATTAGAGTAACCTTCATGTCTGTAGGTCTTTCACAACCCAAAACGAAGCACAAACAAAATGGCTGATCCCACCTGCTCCTCCCTTTGTTTAAACTGCAGCACCACACTCTGTCACCTTTAAGCTGCTATAGCACCCCTCCGAACAAACGACTGCTGAGCAAAAACCGTAAAAGGTATTAGAAAAATTCTTTCAGTGAAAGAAACATCTATCCTTTGTCTCAGACTGGGGTAACCTTCATGTCTGTAGGTCTTTCACAACCCAAAACGAAGCACAAACAAAATGGCTGATCCCACCTGCTCCTCCCTTTGTTTAAACTGCAGCACCACACTCTGTCATCTTTAAGCTGCTATAGCACCCCTCCGAACAAACGACTGCTGAGTAAAAACCGTAAAAGGTATCTGAAAAATTATTTTTATCTAAGCTAAAGCTATATCTTGTCTTCAATTGGAGTAACTTTCATGGCTGTAGGTCATCTACAACCTGAATGGGAAGAGAAAGAATAAGAAAAACGGGTCCTCAGTCCTTAGCTTCTAACTGAGCTAGCTGCAGCAACACACTTTCACTCACCTTTAAGCTGCTAAAGCCCCCCTCCGAACAAATGACTGCTGAGTAAAAACCATAAATGATATCTGAAAAATTATTTTTATCTAAGCTACAGCTATATCTTTACTTCAATTAGAGTAACTTTCATGGCTGTAGGTCATCTACAACCTGAATGGGAAGAGAAAGAAAAAAAAAAACGTTTCCTCACACCTGAGCTTCTAATTGAGCTAGCTGCAGCAGGACACTGTCACCCAGCTTTCTGGTGCTTAAAATGTCCTCCGAACAAACGACTGCTGAGCAAAAACCGTATGAGTTATTCAAAAAATTCTTTCACCGTGAGCGTCAGCCATCCTTCGACTCCAACTATGCCAACTTTGGTGTATGTGTGTCTTTCAGAACAATATTTATGACGAGTTTAAAACACATAATGTCATTCGTTTTTCTCCCCTCTGCTGTTCCAAAACCAATGAAAAACGGCTCTGATTTTCATCGACTTGAGGTCGGTCTGGAGGGTTTTTAAGGAAAAGTATTAATCCTACCGTAATTCCGAAGACATTGTGTGGGTCCAGAGATTTCAGTCTACAAACTGACCAAAAATGGTGACTCTAGCTATAAATATGTGGCCGTGAGGGCGAGTTTAAAATGTTTTTGGGTCTTAAAAAAACGGCTGCCTCACACTCTAGCTTTTCAGTCTCTCCACTCTAGAAGGGTGGATTTTGCTAAAACTTTGTGGCGCTTGAGGTCTGATTATACAAAAACCGTAGCAGTTATCAACATACCGTCTTCAGTTTTATGCAGACGAAGGATTTATCTACAAACTGAGCTTTAAACTGTTTTTCTACGTGAATGTATGCCGACACAGTGAAGCGCTGTTTTTTATGCTGTTTTTTTCCTCTCCCCATTCA